TAAAAATATCTCAGCGTAAAAAAATATCTCTCTAAATTATATCATTATTTCTTCGTTGTTCATTTTTTGAAAACCCCTTTTTACTTCCATCTCTTGAATGCACTTCGCATATCGAGGAAAAGCGAGATTGTTTATGTTGCATGCATCTTATAAACATAATTTTTGTAACTTTAATTGGGGTCTCTTCTTTTAAGCATTCGCTTCCCTTTTGGTATAAGTGGACTCGCCTTCGCCGAGCGTCGTAGGCGCACATCGACTGAATTCCGTTTTGACTACCCCCCCTCTTTTTTCTGCAATCAATAAACCCATTCACTACCACAACGTCATTCACGCTATAGAAAGGGCAAATATAGCGTACGAGAATGCGATTTTTTTTTATTTGTTGAGATATATAAAAATGCACTGTCTTCACATTATTAGTTTTTCCTTTTGAGTCATAAAAAAGGATTTGATATTAAAAAAACTTTGACCCTCTTTATTTGAAACTGAGATTGGTACTAGAAAAAAAAAGTCGCACTGGTAGTCAAATAATGTAATGTATTCAGGCAGTCTGTTTCATTTGGTAACGCTAATATATGAATAAAACATGTTTAAATACTAGACATGTGTTTAAAATTAAAAAAAAAAATTTTCGATTTTTTTTTTCTTTCAAAAGACTTGGAGAACACCTTTTAAGGATAAAAGAATATGAAAGTATGTGTGGAATAATTCCAAAATTAAACTATTAATAAACGTATTTGTGTGAAATTTTTAATATTTTTAATTTCAATCCGAAAAAATGATAAGTTGAACTTCTCGCTCATGCGATCAGGTTTTAATCTAAAACTTCGCATTAAGCATAATTTTTTTTATTAATTTCGAGAAATGTATTGAGTTGGTGTAGTTGGAAAAATATTTTAGCGGATGAAATTAAAACAAAGCAAGTAAAGCTAATGTAAAATGAATGATGCAAACATCGTTTGTAAAAGTGAAAAAACATCACTGTTAAAAATTTGGAACTTGTTAAACCTTAATATTGTTCAAATTCGCTGCAACTTAATTATGGTGCTAAGGTGAACTAGTTATCATACTGTCATACAATACTATGTATCAATTGAAACAAAATTATAATTCAATTTCGATATTTATCATTGCTTTTGATTAATTTATATTTGAAGATTCAATTGAATTGCGTTTCAAGATACCGATATTATGGTTCGATTTGACAACTTATCACAGCTGAAGATAATTTAAGTTTGGAAATACAAATGAATAATGTTCCAAGTTACCAATATTAAGAAAATTGCCAATAAGCCAATAGCCAATGTTATGGTTCAATTAGACAACTTATCTCTATTGTAAACAAATTTATGTTTGAAGATAAAAGGTATACATTTGATAAGGTACTTTAATAAAAAAAATAATGATAAAAACATTTTTTGGGGTAAAATCATAAATGATATTAAATCGAATTATTTAAAATAATGTAACTATCATTCTTACCTACTTATCTTTTAAATGAATGACTGGCTTAATTTAAAAATGACATGCATATAAAAAATTTTGAACTTTGAACAGAAAATGAAAAAAAACATGCTTATTAAAATAAATAAAGTACAATGTGATTAATTGAGCCGAAGTAGTTTAGAAGATAAAGTAGTCAACTTCCAATGAAATGAACTGGTTTCGAATCCCAGCGACGGCTGATTGATTCGAATTCCTCACCCGGCTCGCACTGACCACAGTGCTGACATAGAATATCCTCAGTGGTAGACGGATCATGGGTTAGAGCCTCCTTGCGGTCACGCTAACCGTAGGGGGTTTCCGTGGTTTTCTTCACCATGTAACGCAAATGTGAGTTAGCACTATGCGGGTTAGTAATTGCATCAAAAAATCTCCACGAAAGCAAAAATTTCTCCCAAAACTTAATCCAAGAGTTCCCTTGTCTTCTGGATTGGGCTAAAAATTACAAGGCTATGGAGTTGAACATTGATAGTCGTAAACCCTAAATTGGGTCGGCTGCTCAGCGATGGTTATAAAATAAAATGTAATTAATTACTTTCTTATTTTAAGTTATTTAATGAGAATTTGTAGATTGCGATAACACACATATAAAAGAAACTGCTTTTATGTCCGGAACGGGATTCAAATCTTCACTATGAATCACATGATCTTAGTGATCATAACTTGATATGTCACTTAAAAGACACACCTGAATCACTCATGTCATAGTTATTAAATTTTCTTCGATATACGAAGCAAATTTTAATTTTTCCTAAAAGTAATGTGAGATTTATATTAATGATCATTCAAGCATCAACTTACAAGTAAATGATATTAAATGTTCATAAAACATTATGTATTTTCTTTTTTACTAAAGTGTAACATCTAAAATTCAATTATTTTTCAATTTTTTGCTTACTCTAATTATTTTTGGTCGTTAATAACAGATATTTTTTCCCCAACTACTTAAAAGTTTTTTTATGCTAAAAATTATTGAATGAAAAATCCCAATACATTTAACAGTTGTGAATCCCCAACTACAGACAAGTTCAATGATTTGTAGAAGGTTGAGATCACACAAATATAAAAAGAAAACTAAAATTTATGTCTGTAGCGTGATTTAATAATAACGTCAGTGACTGAACATATGATGTAATATAAAAATATAACCATATATTCGTCATAATAACGTCACGGTAATAACGGAATAACGTCAGTGACTGAACATATGATATAATATAAAAATATAATCATACATTCATCCAAGTAATAATAGTAGATGCGGTACGTCACTTAGTAGGCATTTCAGAATCACTTGCTCCGTGACAATCATTAAATTTTCATCTATTACGTAATTAGTTTTGTATAACAATCGGATATTAGTGCTAATGATAATTAGAGTACCAACTTGCCACTAAACCATAGTAAATATTTATAAAACAATATTTATTGCTTTACATAAATATAAAATTCAAGTATTTTCCATTTTTTTTTATTCTAAATAGTTTTGGTCATTGTTGTTCTCGTCAGCCATTAAGGCCGATAGGGTGCGATTGTTCTTGTCTTCCAGTGAAGCCATCTATGGACAAGAATTTGACTTCTGTCACACCCATACGTCACACCCGCTTATAGGGCAGACCCATTCATACAATACATCCATCCATTCATTCATTCAAAGATAGTAATTTTGACCTGAATCAGAGAGCGATAAATCTTCAATTCAGTACCCCCAGAGGTATTGATTTGTTATGGGAACATGGAGGACTTTGGGACAAGACAGATTTAACATGCCACACTAATCTCACTAAACTGGGCTGGAGTGGACAATTTTAATTACATGCTAAGTAGTAACTTATTACAAATCAGAAAGGTATATAAAGCCAATTTAATTTCAATTCATCATTGGAGAATAAATATTGACACACATTAATTAAATTACTAATTTGTAATAGAGGATTTTGCTATGCTCAAAAAGGCATTTTAAATGCAAAACACTACATTTCAAAAATATTATTCAATTTGGTTTATTTATTAAATGTGTTGAATTTTTATTTTTATTTTCTAATACAAAATTGAAATGACATTATTAAATGTATATTGAGGCGCAGTTCTGGTAGTTCTATCAATCGCTGACAATGAAAACTAGGTAACTATTTTTTCTCGTTTGATTTGAAAAAAATTTCTTTCTGGAAAAATGAAAGATTCATGTAAAAGAACTACATCTTTTTTTAAAATTTGTTATTTCTTTATTAAGAATTGAATATCATAATCTCCAAAATCTATAAACAACTTCCACTCCACCAACCTAATGCACAACATTGTCTTTCTTTTTTTCTAAAAAGGAACCAGTGAAAGAACGCTTAAGCTTCTCTTGCCTTTTAAAAAATCATATTAATGTAAAAATTCATAATTTTAGTTAAATGACAGTGTCAACATATTTGCAACTAATTGCAAATTATGTAAAAAAATTGTAGAGAGCTTACATAATATTGTTTTAAAGTTTTGGAGGTTCAAATAACAAATAGTAAGAAGACCAAGTGAAGGAACAGCTCTTACCAGTGAAGGAACACAAAATTTCCCAGTTAAGGAACACTTAATTTTGGTTTTTTTAAAATGCTCTTTATGAATTTACATGCCATAAAAATATCTAAAAACAAGCCTATTCTTGAAATTATAACCTGCAAATACTTGGAAAATGTTGACTTTTTTTTGTAATCATGAATTGAAAAGTAAAGTGTCAACATATTAACACATACTTTTCATTCACTGGGAAATCCATGCCCAGTAAAGGAACGTGCCTGTTCCTTCAATGGTTAGAAGTTGCTTTTTGTATTTTTGACTTACTTGTGATGCAAAACGTCACTAAAGGTGCAAGAAAATTAAAGTTTCTTTTTCATTTTCATTAACTTAGAAAAAATCCAGTAAAGGAACACTTGTTTCTTCACTGTTTTTTCATCGTTTGGTGATCCAGTGAAAAAACACCCCTTATCTCAGTACTTCATTATGCTATGATGCTTAAAAAAATAAAACGTAACTTCAATAACTATATTTTGAATTCTCTTTTTCACAGTGAGAAAAATAAAACTATTAAATGCAATTAATTCCACTTCAAACATATAAATACAAACACTCACCTTATAATTTTTTCAAAGAAACAAGGTGTTGCAGAGATAATAAAAAATTCAAAATTTTTCCAGAGAAGTCTATTTGACCAGGTAATCGAAAACATTGCTAAATGACTTCCTATTGTTTGTTTGTATCAGTAAGCTATTGTTACCAATCAATCTAAAGAAAAACTTTCAAATTCTTATTTTTAATCAATATATATGAAATGTTCCTTCACTGGTTGTTTTACCCTAATAATTAAAAAAAATTGAAATTTCATCTACAAAAATTTGTTTTAACGCACTGCAAAAGCACGTACGACACTTATATTTCAATGCAAGTGCCTTATTATGCAATGATATTTTTTTAAAAATGAATATTTGATGTACTAACATGAGTTTTTTTCCTTCTAGTTTGTAATTTCGTTGTTCATGAACGTTGTGTGAAAACTGTAGTGTCTCCGTGTTCAACAATTACTCCATATATAATTAAAGTAAGTATCTTTTGTCATTTCATTATATTTTTATAAGTTAACAAAGTAATTGCATGCTACTATAATATAAGAGGGATTTTTATTATAAAAATATGTAATCATTGTCATTACCTGGATCCTTTTTGCGAAACAGTTGGAATAAATAAATAAATTTATTAAATGTATTTTGTTTATTTTCTGCTTCAAGCCTTTAAAAAAAATGCATTTTTCGAAACTCACAATAGAAAAAAGTTTCATTAGTAACGATTCTTATTTTGTACATTAGCATTGTATCATTTTCAAGAATACGAAAGGTTTTTCTGTTCTTTAAATTATTTTTCAGTGTTAAGATAAATTCAGATTTATTATAACAAACTCAAAATTGAATTTTTTCATGTCTAATATTTTTTTCGAAATACTTTTAAAATACAATAAATAATTGCAGTGATTATCATATAAAATAAATAAAGAGACATATTTTATACAGCAACAAAAATAGTAATATAATTTGAAAATGAAATTATGATTTAAGGTACTTGATTTTAAATTACGTAATTTTAAAAATAAGATTCAAGGGACTCAGTTTAAAACGGGTGAATAATTATTCAATAACTAAATAGTGAATAATTATTCAAAAACAAAACAGAAACAAACAAACAGAAAGGAATTATAAATGTTATTTCCGGTAATTTTAGAGAAAAAATAATAGATTTTCATTAAAATACCATATGATTTTGCATACAGTACTGATCTTCAATTAAAATGCACTGTTTTTTTGCCTTTGCTTCACCTAAAACGTATAAATCACAATTCTTTAATGTGCAAATCAAAAAACTTTTAAAAATTTTACCGTTAGATAAAGGTTAGTGACCAATAAAAAAACTTTCCACTCTCTGTAAAGATAAAATTATGCCCAGTCACCGTAAAAATAAAATTATGCAGATAATGCTATTATAACCATAAAGTTACAAGTCTATTTGGAATTTTTTTTGCAAAATATATTTCTACTGATTTTTAATTAACATTACGTTCGTTAAAGTTATTGACAGTTTGGGATTTGACGTTGCTAAAGATTCGGGAAATTTGTCAAGGTGAACTACTGAGCGAGTTAATGTATTGCAGTGATGTCATTTGTCGAGAATCCATATGATTACTAATGAAGAGGGAGAGCGTGTTCTTTGATGATGGTTGGGATCGAACCCGGGATCTTTGCACTCCCATAACAATATGATATAGGAAACAATTTATAGTTGTCTATGAGATACTAAATTATTTGAAATTTTATTGATGATAAGAGTAATTTATTTAGATTAATTAAAATCGTCAGTTTCCGTTACGTAGGGTTATGTTCGGTTAATATGCATTCAAAATATCAATATAGTTTGAAACGAATTTGAATTTAGTAGAAACTGAAATTTACTTATTTTATTAATTTATATTTATTCTAATATCTTTCTTTCATCACAACTTCATGTAAAAGTAATTACTGGTAAGGCAAAAGTGAAAACAAAATTTTAATTTGAAAATTACAGAAAAACAGAATTGTTTAACTACATAATTCCAAGCATAATTTAAAATAATTAAGATACTGACATAATCTTAAATGATGTTATAATGTAAATAATGAATTTGAAGCTTACTATGAATAATTTTCAGTGGTTGATAAAGTGAAAGGTTTAAATTTTGACATTTATTCTGCTTGGCATATCTTTTAGGAATAAGCATAATTTCATTACTGTAAATAAAAATAAAATGAAAACAATTAAAAAGCAACTAATATTAACATGCTTTGGAACTACAATGCAATCTTATCAAAATTAATTGACAGTTTCGCTCACACAGGTTTTTCAAAACAACTTGTCCTTGAACGATTAATGAAACAAACAATTTAATTGCTAATAATATATTTTTAATCCTCTCGAAAATATTAGAAATGTTAAATCATTTTAACATTCGTCTGAAATAGAACACATTTTTTTACTCTTATATTTTATGTTTAAAGATTATTAAAAATAATCTGCAAATAACTGATCCATTAAAAATTATACAGATTTTAAAAGTTAACTACAATGTTCCTAATTATGGAAACAAAAGTTCTATTATTTAGTCATTAAGTTATCTTAATTAAAATTGAAAACAAATATTTTAAAAACAATAAAAAACGAATAAATTGCATAATATTCTTTAACAATTATAAGAAGATTATTTTTATGTAGTCACATACTCAATTAACACATGGAACGTTTTGAAGTTTTTTTAATTTCATTCCAAATTATTATTTTAAATTATAAAAAGACGCCTTTTTTTGAACAAATGATTACATAAAAGACTAATTTAAAAAACGATTTATCCATTATTTCCAACGATTTAATAATGACTATTACTAAACGATAAATATACAAAATTTATCATTCAGTTTTTAAGTGGAAAGAAAAATTTTGGTTCGCGATTAGTAGCATCGCAATTGTTTCTTAGTTTTGCAAAATTAATTAATAAATTTTAATGTATATTATTTAAAAGAAAATGTAAATTCAGAAATTTCCCTCAATTTAACGTTATTGGTCAAAACATTTGGCAGCGATTTTGTACAAGTCTCCACCAGGTCTCTTTGCGTTCTATCATTTAACTTGACGAATACTGGACAGTTTCCCTGTTCTTGAATTCAGTTTAAGAAGGTCATTTCACATTTTTTGCTTAAAATCTGTGTTATTCAATTTCTGCTTCATAATAAACAGCAGAACCAGTTTTTCTTAGAAATTCTAAAGCAGTTTTAGATTTTAGTTAAGCTGCCAAATAAGTATGTTACGCTTGCTTTTAAAAATCCTTCTGCCATTCGTTAACATTGCTACTAGCTCATTTTACCAGGATTTTCTCGAAACATTTCGTAACATTTTTGAAACATTTTCTCAAAAACTACGACTTTAAAAAATTTGTATTACTTTATACATAACCATTATATTATTTAGATTAATTTAATAAGACCTTTTGTCAAAACCTTCGTTTAAAAAAATTTTATTAATACAAATGTGGTGTACTTTTGGCGTTTTCTTCAAAAAATTTCGTTCTATACCAAACAATTACTTTAAAAGAAACTTAACTAAAATTAAAAAGGACTCTCATTAACATTAACTCTCATCTAACTATAAAAAGTATACTATTAGAGAAAAGTTTCAAATGTATATCTATTAATAACTTTAATTATTAAAAACTATTCTTTAAAATTTTTTAGAAGCGTGATATAAAACGATACTTTTAACATTACGGTTACAGCGATTTTCCGCGTGAAATTACCCCCTTAGTGAAGTGGTGGACAAACGGAGATGAAAGCAAAAACTGGAAAGCTTTTGCATCATTTTCGATCTGCTGAACTACATCCTCACTGCGCAATATTCAACTGACCAGTTATTACTATTTCGCGCATGCCCTGTGTTGATCTAGTAAAATGAAAGAAGTTAACTTAAGACTACCAAATATTCCCAAATCTTGAGGATGTTTGGTCGCCTTGTCCTCGAATTTTAACAGTTGTCTTGAAAAGCTTTCCTACTTTTTGAGAACAGAAATTTTCTGCATATTTTATCATATGTTCTCAAGTACAAGACGTTATTTTGTCCTCCGTGTACTCATTCATTTCACCTGTGTTGAACAAATGCAGAATATTATCTGATATAACGAAACTGCAGAGAAAAGAAATCAAATTTGATGAAGAGGGTTCTGCACGTGATATTAGTTATCAATTTTAAAAACAGACATATTTTCTGCACATATAAATTACTATTTTCCCTTAATATATCGGTGCGCTCGAATTTGAAAATTTTTTTGAGTACACTGCGCTGATTTGTTCTTAAGTTACGGTTTACAAATCTGGTACACTAGTTAATCACTTTGAGTGAAAATCCCTGTTGTATTTAATACCTATTTAATGGCAACACTATTGGAGTGATTAACATATAAATGTTTTTTTAAATGCAGAATCCTGTTCCTCACTGTTGGAGCGAACCGGGACATCTTAAAAGGAGGTTTTGTAATGTATGCAGAAAGAGAATTGAAGATAGCTGTGCAGTTAGATGTGAAGGTAAGTGATTATTTATTCAAAATTAACATTCCACATTTACTTACTTATTGTATCTTTTTCTAAAAGGGATGGCCAACACTTCCAAGCAAAGAGAGAAAGTCTTCGCAGGAGTTACCTTAAACTAGAAATCTAATTCTTAGTAATGAACATCTTTCTTAATCCACCCCACTGCACAGTTTATGTTCGTTACTGTTCGTTTATGTTCTTCGGGCTACTAAAGTAACCCATGCAAAGGCCTCCTCTCTTCTAGGAAGTGTTAGTTAAAAACGTTTGAAATCTATTGAAAGAGTGTGAAGTTTTTCGCCTGATATTGACACTAACTTTCGTTTTTTTTTACTGGATATACCTAAATAATATTGTTTATGTTATTACAAATGTGTAATAATTATAAAAAATATAAGCTTCGCAATGCGATTATGCTTATTAGCAAATTATTTGTATTGATTTAAATGTGTAAGAAACTAAGGACAATTGTATGACTAAAACGAATGAAAAGTTAAATTGAATAAAATTTCATGATATTGCGTTGTTGATGTCGCAGGTGAGGGGGGGGGATCTAAAATCACGCGAAAAGTAACGAAGACATATATGCGCAACCAATGAATACGCCAAGAAAGTTAATCTAAAAATCATGAGTTTATTAATCGTTATTTCCCCTTAATTATTCAAAAACGTTTTTACCATGCCTTTCAAGTTTCAAATTTTAACTACAAGAAACGAATTAAGTTCATGAAATTGTATGTCCATAAAGAAATAAACCCTACTGTTTAGCAAGCGTTTTACTTCTTTTTATGACTTGTTTGAACTATAGATAGGTAAGAATATTTATATATACATAGGGGCGCCATTTAGTTTGTATATTATGGCAAATTTTTGAATGTTTTGTAATAATTTATATCTACAATGAGAATGAAAGTATGGTCAAAACTTCCAAAATAAGGTTAAATTTATCGTGATTCTTTCTCTATGGGAACACCCAAAAGCATGGTACTTTTTATTGAAGAGCTTTGGCAATGATTTTGGTAAAATAAACAATAAAGTATGGTTTTATAATATGTGATAAAATTTGCTAAATGTGGTGAAACTTGTTAATTTTATCAGGTTGCCTTGGAGAGGGACATAATTATTTATTCAATTAAAATGAACTTCTCAATTTTGCCTTTTTTTTCTTCTAAAATGTGTGGTGATAAGAACTATTTTGAAAATCAGATTTTACCGTAAACCGTTACTATATGTGCTGAAAAATCACCAAATTATTGGTTTAAACAACGTACTTTTTGGTTTTATTAAGCAAAATTGTTTTTTTTTTTTAAATCGGAAATGTCATTATAATAGAATACGGTAATTTTATCAACTTTTTACACTGAGGATGAATTCCCTCACAGAAAGTTTTCTGAAAGCTAACGTTTTTGCTTAATATAAATTAATTAAAAAACGATTAATTAAACGGAATCAATATTGATCCGCACTTTAAACCATGATATCTTTCAAATTCACTCCTACCGTAATACGATTTTGAATTGAATATGTTTCAGTCCAATTTGAAAAATCTAGTTAAAATGGTTTATTTGACATTATAATGCGATCAATTTAGCACCATATTCTGATTGCAGGAAATATATTTCTAAGTTCAAATATTTTTAAACTGTATTTTAAAATCAATCCTTTTTTGAAAAAAATAATTACTACTTTATCGCTATTATAAAGCTTTAGTTTGCCATTAGAATTCTTATTTATGCCACATTCTTTATGGCTTATTAAATAATTATTGAAGAAATACTGGAAACTACTGAATTTATTAAGTGCAAAATAGTCATTCGTTAAAGTTTGTCTTTAAAACTGCTGCTCGACGCAAATAAAGTTTGCCGTTCGTAAAGTATTGTCCAGGTTTAACAATTTTTATTTAATTTAGCTTAATAATGCTTGTAATTTTCAAAAACCGTTTAAAATAGGTTTACAACATAGAAAAATTATTGTTACATAAAATCTATAAAATCAATTACAAAAAGAAAACTCTCGGTAAAGTCATAATATTGTTTTATATAAATTCAAAATTTTTTACATTTAAAGTATTTCGGTTTTAATAATCAAAGTTTACACATGAAATAACAATTAGTTTAGGTTGTTTATAACTTTCTGCACAAAATATAATTTAAATAAATAATATATTATTCTTAGTAAACGTTGTAAGGTTATGAATACTATAGAACTTAAATGTTAAAGTTTTCCACGAACCATATACAAAATGTACTATAAAATTTAATGTTAAAAAGTTATTTTTTAAATAAAGGTTGGCCACATAATTTTTTGAAAGATGGGAAAATCGGACTCGGAAGACGCAGCCTAGTGGCTTAATCAGAAACCTAGTGGCTATTTCGCAGCCTAGTGGCTTAATCAGAAAAAAAAAGCAAAGACGAAACAACCAGAATATGATATAATATGCCGAGTTTCTGGTTTTATGGGAACACCAAAAATATCGGTGATATTTACCGAGCGCTTTGGTAAAGATTTTGGTAAAATTAACATTAAAATATGGTTTGAGAGTATGCCATAAAATTTGGTGAATGTAGTAAATTTATAATGATACCTTAGAGCATGGCATAAAAAACATTAATTCGGGTAAATTAATTTACCCGAATTAGTGTTTTTTAACGAAGTGTTTTTTACCCGAATTAGTGTAATAAGAACTATAATTTTTGAACTAAAAATTTCAAAATTTCCGGTAAACCGTTAACTGAAAAATTACCAAATTGATAGTTTAAATCCGTGATAGCGGATCTCGCTAATGGTTTTCTAAAACCTAGTGGACTGCGCTGCTAACATCTTATTCCTCCTTGAGAAGAGTTGTTGAACTGCAAAGCAACCTTTGTGACTATCCCTCCTCCTATTCCAATAAAATCGTGGTCTCGCGAATAATAATCACCATAAACAAGTGTACAGTGTTCATTAGTTATGTTAATTAGCGCTTCTCCAATTTTTTGGTCAATTATGCAATTTTTATTTAATAGTAATTTTCTACGTGTTATAAACTTTTTACTTTTGCAATTTTAAAATATAATCTATGTTTAAACAATGAAAAAAACTTGTTGTTGTTGTGATATTTAGGGTTACAAGGGGCTTTTGAAGTTTTGAAAATCAGTCTAAATTTTAATTAGAACTATGCGATTTTTTCGAGAATATTGGTTAAATAAAAAGTCTAAAAAAATTTCAGTCGCCTTAAGAAGTTCTGGGTGATATACAAAATTTTAATTAAATTATATTTTAGTGGTTACATTTTTGTGAATTTTAACCCATTTTTATCAATTTATATTAACCAAATTTCTGCATATTGCTTAAGAAATATGCACAGAAAATGTTTGAACTTTTAACGTTCATCTACTGAAAAGTTAATAACTATACTGACTGGATGACGCGGTTGCCAAAAATCATGATTTTTTTTTCAAAACTCAAAATAGTATTTGATTTGAAGAATCACACCTTTAAGAATGTATTTATTAATTATATGAAAATATTTTAAGCTTAAATTAACATTTTTTTTACTAAGTATGTTCACATTAAATGTTATGAAAATTATGTTTGTTTAAATTAATGTTTTTTAAGATAACTCACAGCTGATTTAAATCAGCAATTTCTTTAAAAAAAAATCAAATGACTTAAATCACGGTTATATTCGAAATGCATTATTTTCTAGTTGTAAATCTAATCATGACTGTAATATCTCAAATTTAATTTCCGGCATAGCTTGGTATATTATATTTCGATGCATTTTTTGGCCAGTAAGATGCTTATCGCCGAGACAGTATATGATTTTCATAAATTGCACCCTTCACATGTCAATGAGAGCAGAGACCTACCTAGAAGCGCAATTCGCATGCTGTGAGGAGTGGGGGTTATCATTGAGGTAATAACTGGGAGCAGTCCGCCACTGCCCGTTTAAATACCGTATATTTTGGTTTTATTAACCAGAATTATGGGTTTTTTTTAAAACTAAAAAGGCTATTACCATTAAATGCATTTACCAGAAATTATTCCGTGTGATATGGAAAGACGGTTCACTATACTATGTATAAAGTTTACCTATAATTATCATCTCAATTATCTCTAATTATCAGCCAATTATATTGCTCATGAGGGCAATATAATTGGCGATTTTCACCAATAGCCGTAATTCATCAATAAAATTGGAATAACAAAAATAAAAAATAAAGTTAATTAAAGGGCTTGCTCTTAACAATAAAAATATTTTACATACGAAACAAGAAATCATTGCAAATAATTAATTGCACAAATAAATAGTTAATTGCATGTAAACTTGCTTGTTTAAAATTATTATGTTAAGACTCTGCTTTAATTTTACTATGTTATATCTTACAATAAGATTTTTAAAGTCCATGATCAAAATAAAGAAGTATATGTTAATAAAGAACAAAACGCAAATAAAGAAAAGAATGCAAATAATGTTAATAAAGAAGAAAATGAAGAACTAATTATTTTGAATGATTGTACTAATGATTGTTTAGAAAATACTTTAGAATATAAAAATAAACACATTATTTGATACTTTACTTATAAAAATAAATAGATAAATTGATTTTATTTACAAATACTCTTTAATATAAGAGAGATAAAATTCCGTCTATATTTCTGAGTATTTAAGCGAAAAGTTGTCTAGTTATACAATCGCCCTAGGTTAACTCTATTTACTTTTGTCAAAGTTGTAAAAATATTATGATCTTGTGTTACAATGTACTTAAAGAGGCGCGTCTCCAGTAAATTGCTGATTTCGTCTTGTGAAGGCAAGGTTTAATGCTACCTGCATACTGTCAAAACATTTCCCCCGCTATGATGAGAAGAACATAAACCATTGATTGCCTAAAATAGATCGCGTATACTGCAAACGTTGTAAAACATTTTTTTTACAGTCTTAAATAGAAGTAAGATGTGGTAGTTGTCTTGGAGGTTTATTTCTCAAAATAAAAACAATTCATTTTGAAAATAAC